AGATTTTATCCTGGAGTCTGTCGTTCTTCTCTTTTCACAACTCCCAGCAGACTTTGGTTTCCATCACGCTTCTCAAACTGCTTTCATCAGAGTCTGGGCTCTGCGGCATCAAGGCCAGCAGCTCTGTCTCCCCGGCGCTGCCATCGTCTTCCAGCCTACAAAACTGTAGTCTGGAGACTCCCGCAGCCACCGCCCCCCTGCCGCTGTCCACAGACACACTTGATTTTCTCTCCCTTTCTCAGTCTCCTTTGCAGACTCTTTTTGATCTCCCTGAAACCTAACCTAAGCATGGATCGCTATTGTTGGTTGAGTTGTGCCCCCGCAAAAGATATGTGGAAGCCCAGCCCTGGAGCCTGTGCATATGACCTTATTTGGAAGTTGGGTCTTTGCAGATGTAATCAAGTTAAGATGAGGTTGTTAGGGTAGATCCCTAATCCAGTCTGACTGGTGTCGTTAGAAGACTAGAAGACACACAGAATCAGGGACACTTCAAGAGGAGAACGCCATGTGATGGTGGCTGCAGACATGGGGGTGATGTGTGTGCAAGCCGAGGGGCAGCACGGAGTGTCAGCAGCGCCAGAAGCAAGGAGGCGTGGGCGTGAGTTCCCCCAGAGCCTTCCCAGGAAGCACAGTCCTGTTGACCTGCTCATTTCTGACTTCAGTCCCCCGGAACTGTGAAAGCGTAGGTTCCTGTCGCTTCAGGCCACCCGGTTTGTGGTACCCTGTGAAAGCAGCCCTACTTTGCACCCTCTTTTCAGCTAGTCACTTTTCCGTGGGGCTTATCCTCTTTCTTGGCTCTACGTGATCACTCATAGCCTGACAGTTCTCAGATTGATGTCCGTGGTGCAGACCTCTCCCCTGGATTCTGGACTCACATGTTCTACTACCAGTTCATTGTTTCATGGGATTTTTTTTTTTTCCTCTTTTTGTTTTTTAAATTTTGAGACCAAGTCTTGCTTTGTTGCTCAAGCTGGAGTGCAGTGGCATGGTCTCGGCCCACTGCAACCTCCATCTCCTGGGTTAAAGGGATTCTCCTGCCTCAGCCTCCCTAGTAGCTGGGACTACAGATGTACACCATCACGTCCAGCTAATTTTTGTATTTTTAGTAGAGATGGGGTTTCACCATGTTGGCCAGGTTGGTCCTGAACTCTTGACCTTAAATGATTTGCCTGCCCCGACCTCCCAAAGTGCTGGGATTACAGGTGTGAGTCACAGTGCCTGGCCCCCATGGGATGTTTCATAGATAGTTCAAGCTTAGCACACTCAGGGCTGACCTCCTGCCTCTTCCTCTCCAAACCTGCTCTCCCTGTGGTGTTTCCAGCAGCAGTTCTATCCTTCCAGGTGTTTAGGCCAGAAATCTGGGGCTCTTTTGTGAGCCTCTGTTTTCTCTAACATCTCAAGTGTGACTTGTTAGCAAATCCTGTAGCCTGTACTTCAGGGTATACTGCGAATGCTCTCCTTTCTTACCATGTCTGCCACACACCGGTCCAGGCAGTGGTCCCACTCCTGGGTCACTTAGGTGACTTCATAACTAGTTTCTCTGCCTGTTTGTTCCCCTCTGGCTGCTCTCAACACAGGGGTCAGAGTGGGGCGATCCTGCTCCAACAGAGGTAGGACATCATACGCCCTTCCCCAGAACCTTCTGGCGCTCCCTGTTGGTCCTCGAGTGAACGCCCAGTCCTCACAGTGGCCTTCGAGGCTCTCCATGATGTGAACTGTGGCCTCGCCACCCCCTCCACCTCTCTGGCCCTGGCGCTCCACCTTCTTTCCAGGCTCACGCTGCTCAAATGCTGTGCCCTGATCAGGCTCCTTCCCTGCTCCGGGAGCCTCTGCACTTGCTGGAATCCCTTTATAAATAAATATAATGACATCGTTTTCTGGATTTTGTCCCAGCGCCCTTCCTCGCTTGCTCCAAGCCTTTCCTTAAGTCGCCTTCTCATCAGGTCCTCCGTCTGTCTGATCTGAAGTGGCCTCCCTCTCTTCTTTTCTCTCTTCTCTGCTTTCTTGCCCCTCCTTTGTACGTATTACTCTATAACATTCTATGTATTGTATTGTATTTATTTATTTTTTTGAGACTGAGTCTTGCTCTATCACCCAGGCTGGAGTGCAGTGGCACAACCTTGGCTTACTGCAACCCCCACCTCTTGGGTTCAAGTGATTCTTGGGCCTCAGCCTCCCAAGTAGCCAGGATTACAGGAACCTGCCACCACACCCAGTTAGTTTTTTGTATTTTTAGTAGAGATGAGATTTCAACATGTTGACCAGGCGGGTCTCGAATTTCTGACCTCAAGTGATCCGCCCACCTTGGCCTCCCAAAGTGGTAGGATTACAGGCATGAGCCACTGTGCCTGGCCTTTTTTTAACTTTCTGACTCCTACCCTATAGCATTAACCCTCCAGAGATAGGAATTTTGGCACCTTTGATCATTGCTCAGTTGTCAGAGCCTGTGAGACTGCCTGCCATATGGGAGACATTCTGTATGTAACATTTGTTGAATAGATGATGGAAGGAATGGGTTGCCAGTGTATGGTCAATTGAATTCATTATTATTATTATTTTTTGAAATGGAGTTTTGTTCTTTCACCCAGGCTGGAGTGCAGTGGCGTGATCTCAGCTTACTGCAACCTTCGCCTCCTGGGTTCAAGAGATTCTTCTGCCTTAGCCTTCTGAGTAAATGGGTTTATAGGCGTGCGCCACCATGCCCAGCTAATTTTTGTATTTTTAGGAGAGATGGGGTCTCACTGTGTTGCCTAGGCTAGTCTCAAACTCCTGGCCTCAAGTGATCTGGCATCGTCAGCCTCTCAAAGTGCTGGGATTAAAGGCGTGAGTCACCATGCCTGGCCTGAATTTATTATTTTTAAATAGCTTATGTTTATTTCACCACTTTTTAAACTCTTAATTATGACAGTTCTCAAACATGGAAAAGAATAGAGAGAATAGAGCCAGGCGCAGTGGCTCACACCTATAATCCCAGCACTATGGGAGGCTGAGGTGGGTGGATCACCTGAGGTTGGGAGTTCGAGACCAGCCTGACCAACATGGAGAAACCCCATCCCTACTAAAAATACAAAAAGTAGCCAGGTGTGGTGGTGGGTATCATAATCCCAGCTACTAGGGAAGCAGAGTCAGGAGAATTGCTTGAACCTGGAAGGTGGAGGTTGCAGTGAGCCAAAATCACACCAATGCACTCTAGCCTGGGTGATAAGAACAAGACTCCATCTCAAAAAAAAAAAAAAAAAAAAAAGAATAGAGAGAATTCTGTAACACGTATCCCAAATACCCATCATCTAGATTTAGCAATTATCAACATTTTGCTTTATTTATTTTATGTATTTTGGGGGTAGGTTACAGTTATCATGACATATATACATTTCTAAAAATTAAGGATTTCTCCTATGTCACCACAGTACCTCCTTTTTTTCTTGAGACAGGGTTTGGTTCTGTCACTCAGGCAGGAGTGCAGTGGCATGTTGTTGGCTCACTGCAGCCTCCGCCTCTTAGGCTCAAGCAGTCTTCCCTCCTCAGCCACCTGAGTAGCTGAGACTCCAGTTGCATGCCACCATGCCTGGCTGATTTTTGCATTTTTAGTAGAGACAGGGTTTCGCCATGTTGTCCAGGCTGGTCTCCAACTCCTGAGCTCAAGCAATCTGCCTGCCTTACCCTGTCAAAGTGCTGGGATTACAGGAGTGAGCCACTGTGCCCAGCTTTCACAGAACCCTTGTCACTTAAAACTGACAGTAATTCTAGTTTGTTATCTAATGTATACTGTTCCCATTCAGATTTCCTAATTGTTCTTTCCAGCTAGTTTGTTTAAATTGGAATCCAATGAAAAACCACGTATTTAATTTCATTATGTCTTTTACGCCCCTTCTAATCTGGACTGGGTCCCCCTCCACCTCTGTTCCCACCGCATCTCCACCATGACATTGACTAGTTGAAGATTCCAGCCCAGCTGTCCTGTAAAATGTTTTGTCTCCTGGATTTCTTCCTAATGCTTTCTTCTGAAGTCATTTCACTAGTTCTCTTCTCCTCTGTATTATCTGCAGACAAGATGGGAGTTTTAAAGGTTGGTCAGTTGAAATTAGTTGAATTAAGTTTCGTCTTTGAAGCCACTTCTCTGTAGCCAAAGGGAGCTTTGGACTTGAAGGGCCTGTTGTTTGCAGGAGGATGGCCTAAGAGCCTGGATCTGTGTTGACTGAGATCTTAGTAAGTTTTTGCAGGTCTCTTGAGATGATGACTTGCCCCAGCCCTGAGTTCCATAAACGACCCTGGAGGAAGGCCTCTGGGACCTCTGAGGTCTGGGGTAGAGGAACCTCCTGCAGCTGTGTGGTTTCGGGGGAAGAATAGAGAGCTCTGAGGCTGGAGTGGGCAGCATCTCTTCTAGGATTAGCCGTCTGTCTTCCCCTTGTACCTCCATTTGGGGCAAACGAAAGCAGCTTTGGGGTACCCCACTTTCCCTTTGTGAAAATGAGTGTCTTCCTTGTGGGTGATCAACTTGTCTTGTCTTTACATGAGGAAGTGGAGTTTGTCTAAGACCTGAGGCTGAGCCCCAGGGTTCTGTATCTTAGTGCTTTGTGTTCTGTGACTTCTTTCACCCAGGGTTTTCTGTTGTTGTTTTTCTAGATAGGATAATGAATTTCTTTGTGGGGCAGAAAAATAAAAAGTTTTCCATAAAATGCACAGAGGACTGGAGAACTACTCATGACCTCTAGACTGGAGGGGAATCTTGAAAATCATGACAGAACGTAAGATAAGTATAATCATGAACTGAACCGATTTTCTTGGATCCTGGTTTCTGAACAGCTTATTTATAGTACAGGCATATTGAGTATACTTATTATATTATCTGATAGTTTAGATGTGTGGCGTATGTTAATCTAGCTTTTATTGGTCATAATTTAGGAAGTACTAATATTACCAAAATGGCATTTTAAGGAAAAGCTACCATCATCAATGTAATTCCAAATTATGACCTTGTCATTTCTTTCTTTATGACACAGGAAATCCGGGATCCTCTTATGCAGTGGCTTAGGAAACACGTGGACTCTGAGGGAGAAATAAAATCCAGCCAGCTCTCTCTCAAATTTGTTTCATCCTACATGTCTGAAGTAGAAATTACCCCATCTCATATACCCGTGGTGACCGACATGGAGGCCTTCGCATCAGAAAATTTCAACTTGGAGATCTATCGCCAAAATCTGCAGACCAAGCAGTTGGGGAAAGTAATTTTGTTTGCCGAAGTGACCGCCACGACGATGCGTCTCCTGGATGGGTAAGGTGTGAGCAGGCCTCCTCTGCATCTGCTGGGAGGAATCCTGTTCCATTGATCATCCTCTCTCACCAATGGTTGGGGAGGGGATAGAGTTGTAGAGGAATACATTGGACTAGACCTATTAACAAGGCGGAAGTACCCTCGTCCTTAGAAGAGTTCAACTGTAGCTGGGCATGGTGGTGCGTGCCTGTAATCCCAGCTACTCAGGAGGCTGAGGCAGGAGAATTGCCTGAACCCAGGAGGCGGAGGTTGCGGTGAGCCGAGACCGCGCCATTGCACTCCAGCCTGGGTAACAAGAGGGAAACTCTGTCTCAAAAAAAAAAAAAAAAAAAAAAAAAAAGAAGAAGAGTTCAACTGTGGGAAAGGAAGTTGAAGTTCTTTGATCACAGATTGTTTTTTATGGGAATGGAAGGTGGCTGTGCTTTGTGTCTTGCGTCCTTGAAGTGGGCCTTCAGAATGTTCTTTGTTAAAATAATGTTATGAAAAAGGATGGGGCATTATTGCTCAGGTTATCATTCTACTTTTGCGCAGTTACAATCAGTGTTAAGACGTTTAACTGAGGATGTTTTTCAGGGGCATTTGAATAACAAGTTTGAAGGACACCTAAGCTGTGTTAAATTCAAAAGTGTTAGAGCTTTGTATTTTGAAAAGTGTTTTTGGTACATTGCTATCCAATACTTTTATTTCTTTATTTTTGGAGACAGGGTCTTGCTCTGTCACCCAGGCTGGAGTGCAGTGGTACAATCATGGCTCACTGCAGCCTCGACCTTCTGAGCTCAAGGAATGCTCCTGCCTGAGCCTCCCAAGTAGCTGAGACTATAGGCGCACGTCACCACACCCAGCTAAGTTTTTGAATATTTTTGGTAGAGACAGGGTTTCGCCATGTTGCCCAAGCTGACTTTGAACTTCTGGGCTCAAGCGATCCTCCTGACTTAGCCTCCCAGAGTGCTGGGATTTTAGTCTTGAGCCACCATGCCCAGCCCCAATACCTTTTTAAAGCAGTCCATAACCCTGTTAGAATATTTGAAATTTACCCTTATTGCAAGTTTTCCTTTTGATTCTTTCTATTATGTAGACTTTGATTAAAGATTAAAAAGTAGAAAACAAATGAAAGGAATTTTTTAAAACTTCTCAATAGCACTAATACTATTTGAGTTTAAAAAATTGGGTTATAGAGGAAGGGAATAACAAAAGTGCCTTCCAGGAATGAAATATTCCCAGAATAACTGGATTCGTTGTTTCTAGGCATCTCACTCATGGGGACCACCTGAGTAGACAGATGTATAATTCAGTATATGGGAGTATTTTGGGCTTTTTTCTTAACAGTTTCTCAAACTTAATGCTATATTGCTATAAAATGATGAGCTAACTTTAGCATTTTCTTGACTCACACTTAGCATCATTGGAATGTGTTGTATTAGAGGAAGCATTGGCTGAATCATTTGGGAGGGTTATCAGAGCAATGGGGACGGACTGGGAGGGGAGCTGTGAGCCATGTTCATTAACAGTTGTTGTGTACTGAGTTAATTTGTGTTGTCATAGGTATTTATTTTTTAGTGACCCTAATTCTCCTGCTTCTACCCCTCCTCTGACACTCATTGCTTCCCAGTAGAAAAGGAAAAAGCCTGTTCTTGTAGATGGAACAGTCATCGCTTGCTTGTTGCAAACTCTGTAATAATCCTTTGTGACTCAAGCGAAGACTTTATTACATTGAAGGGGTAACTCCTGATAGTTACATTTTCTAAATAAAATCAGACAAGTTATTGAACAGCAGATTTGGGGAGGTGAAGTTCAGATAAAAAAATATGTGCACTTTCAGACCACTTTTGTTGTTTCTGTGGAGAACACTGAAGAGTATTTCATGTGAGCGCAGTTGAGAACTTTGGAAGTGTGGTCCTGGAGCTCGTGGCCAGGGCAGTGCATCACCAAGAGGTCAGCACGTGCCTTGAGCGTGCGGAGGGACCGAGGCTTTTGTGCATCCGCAGAACGCTTCACCACGTGCTGTCCAGCCTGTGTTTTGGGGTGAAAAAGAACTTGTATAAATACATGACCTTAATATTCTTGGATATCAGGAAGTTTACTTTTGATATTAAACTTTAAAAAACCCTCTGCCTTCGTAAACTTGCGTCTGTAAAAGTGTTTGATAGACATGGAAGCCGAGCTTGCCAGCACTAGAGGTGGAAACTCCCATAGGGTTACGAGTTTTTATTTTTCAAAGGGGAAAAATATTTTAGCCTTTCTGAGAGGGTTTAGGAATCTTTGTTTTTCTTCTTGTCTGGTTTGATTGTTATGAATACCTTGCTTGGTGCAGAGCTGATATGGAATGAATGGTTGTTGATGGCCTTAGCTTACCGTAGATGCACTGCGTCCACTGTTCCCAGGGGTTCCTTCCTAACGCTGCTAGGTGAAGTTACTCACAGAAGCCTACTGAGTCAGTGAGCCTGGGAAGAAATTCCTCTGGGTGGGAGGCAGTTTCCTTTGTAAGGAGAAGATATTTGAAGAGATCACCTTGGTGTCAGAGGGACCACGAGATAGATGGATGAACAAAATGCATGGCTTGTTACATTCCAAGAATAAGACCAAACTATTTCTAAAACTATATTTAATCCTACACAAGTGTGTCAGTTGGTTCTCGCATTGCTATAAAGACCTGAGACTGGGTTGTTTACAAAGAAAAGAGGTTTCATTGACTCACAGTTCTGCAGGCTGTACAGGAAGCATGACTGGGGAGGCCGCAGGAAACTTAAAATCATTGCAGAAGGTGAAGGGGAAGCAGGCACATCTTACATGGTGGGAGCAGGAGGAAGAGAGCCAAGGGGGTGGTGCTACACACTTTTAAACAACCAGATCTCATGAGAACAGCAAGGATGAAATCCACCCCCATGGTCCAATCACCTCCCACCAGGCCCTCCTCCAAAACTGGGGATTACAATTCAACATGAGATTTGGGAAAGAACACAAATCCAAAACATTCTAATGAGCTATCCTTATGGAAACATAGTCTGTTTGTGGCAGTAATAATAGGTAACGTGTACTGGCAGCTCTTCTCTTCCGGTTGCAGCTTTACACAGATCAATGAATCTCATACATTAATTTTTAGTGCAGGGATCCCTGACTCCCAGGCTGTGGACTGGTACCCATCGGTCTGCAGCCGGTTAGGAACTGGGCCGCACAGCAGCAGGTGAGCGATGCAGGTGAGCATCACTTGCTGAGCCCCACCTCCTGTCAAATCGGCAGCAGCATTAGATTCTCATAGGAGCTCAAACCCTATTGTGAACTATGCATGTGAGGGATCTAGCTTGTGTGCTCCTTAAGAAAATCTAACACCTAATGATCTGAGGTGGAGCAGTTTCATCCCAGAACCACCCCCAAACCCCCACCCATGGACAAATTGTCTTCAACAAAATTATACCCTCATGCCAAAAAGGTTGGGGACCGTTGTTTTAGTGCTTTGGAGTCATTACCAGAACAGTGTTAAACGCTGGTATCACACTAGTGTGTAGAATTCCAGGTAACAGAATTTATTGTTTGTGGAACTATTCCTATTTCTGAATATTTATCGAAAATGTGGGATGCGGCTGGGCACAGTGGCTCATGCCTGTAATCCTCGCATTTTGGGAAGCCGAGGTGGGCAGATCACTTGAGGTCAGGAGTCCAAGACCAGCCTGGCCAACATGATGAAACCCCATCTCTACTAAAAATACAAAAATTAGCCAGGCAGTAGTGGCGCATTCCTGTAATCCCATATACTTGGGAGGCTGAGTCAGGAGAATTGATTGAACCCAGGAGGCAGAAGCTGCAGTGAGCCGAGATCATGCCATTGCACTCCAGCCCGGGTGACAGAACAAGACTGTCTGATTAAAAAAAAAAAAATGTGGCATACTTTTTTGTGGCTCATGACTGTAATTGGAGCACTTTGGGAGGCTGAGGCAGGAGAATTGATGAAGCCCAGGACCAGCCTGGACCAGCCTGGTCAACATGATGAGACTATCACTTCAATGAACCAATTGGACAGGACAAGAAAAATTTTCAAAACCACAGACTGAGTTATCTCAGTGCTTATTTCTCTCTTCGTATGTGTATATTATTTCTGTAGCAGTTGAGCAGCTCTTTCCTGATGGGCTGAAGTATAAGTGAAATTTACATTAGGTATGGATCTTGATCATACTATTGTAAAAAACTTTCTCTCTGACCTCCCTTCCCCATCATAGAACCTGCACCAGCTAAAAACTGGGAGTTGTATTCCTAAGGAAGATGGGGAAGGACATAGTAGGGAACAGCCAGCAGTTTCTGCTGAGGTCCCAGATATCCATATGCATCTCTCTCTTCCTCTCCATAGAAAACTCTCACCCCTTTCTCAAGGAAGAGGACCCTAGTATCACATTCTTTTCCTTCCACTCACTCAGATTCAGGATCTCCGGGTGATGTTCTGTTTTCTGTTTTAGGGCCACATGTGCCTATTGAGGTCTTGTAATCTGTTAATTGAAACAGATGAGCTGTCTGTCCCCAGCACACCATATGCCATGCTGCTGTAGTAGAAATCGGGCCTATCAAGTCCCCTTGCATCTTCTACACTGGTGGCCAGTACGTTTCCTTGTCACTGTCTGGCAACCCATGTTCTGCCCTCCGGGAACTCTTTCCTGGCATCTTTTAGGGTCATGGCTTTGCCTTCTGCAAGGGTCTTCTCTGTACCACGTCGGAGATGGATACTGGAGAGGATGGGCTTCTAACACGCGCTTCCTGGGAGGATTTGGGGTCTGGGTGTTGTTTTGAGGACTGAATAGTCACAGCTTTTTATAGGCCAGCCTTAAGGTTTCTGTGGCAATACAAGTCTCTCAAGACTTTAGTAGCCCTCCAGTCTGTTTGCTTCTGATTGGTTCCATGTGAGTAACCATCAAGATCTTGTCTAGACAGTTTTTCAGCCTAAAAACTGGTCTTTTAAAGGCCTCAGTGCTCTGCCATTCCGTTCCCTCCCAATTTAATAGCACCTCCCTTGGGCC